TGAGTGGGACAGAGAGAGAGGGGGGGGGAATGGGGAGAGGTCCGATTCGAAGGATGTATGTGGCGCCGCGGATGCCCAACCCACCCCCTCCTATATCCGATTGTGCGTCGCTGCTATATAGGATATGGGCGCGGGAAGTTCCAAACTGCCGTGTGAGTACAATGAGGCAAATAAGGCGGAAGAAATAGAAGCAGAGGTGTATTACTCATTGAAGAAGAAGAAGAAGAAGAAGAAGAAGAGAAGACAAATGGGGTTGAGTTAAAAGACCAAAACTTTTCCGGAAAAATTGGAAACTTTTCCACAAAAAAAAGTATTTCCAATAAAAAAAACTTGATATTTTTTTTTCAAAATACTTTCCACGTAAAATAAAATCCCTTAGTGGAAAGTTTTAGTGCTGCGAAGAAAGTGCAGTGCGTGCATGATGCGCATGACACTGTGAGGCGCCAAGAGGGTCCCGCGAGTGCTGCGTATGCGTCCTCACGCGCTCTGCAGGCGTGGTCGCTTCTGGCGCCAGCGCACACACTACCCCCCCCCCCCCCCCCTAACGTACTATGCGTGCACACGCGCGTGGAGGAGGAGGAGCTTGGCGGAAATAGGGCCATGCGAAGGAAGGTACTGCTATGGGTATGTACGCCGGGGAATGCCCACGGATGCGGTGCTGTCGGGCGGCGGCCGGGCGCCACTGGGTCAAAGGCGCCATTCGCATGCGTGTGTGTGTGGAAGAAGCGCGGGCGGGGGGCGTCGCCGGGGAGCGGCGCCGGGCGGGGCGGGGCATTCAAAAAAAAATAGTGTGTGCTCAAAATCCACTTTCAGTTCTTATATTCGCAAAGAGCTTAGTTTTTTAAATTTGCTTTCGGATTTGCTGTTTGAGTCTCGGTGGTGACGCCTAGTGTCCCATTCTCGCCTCCTTTTGCATCTTCAGAGTCTCTCTCTCTCTCTCTCTCTCTCTCTCTCTCTCTCTCCTTGACCCTCCGAGGCCTCGCGGTTCTCTGTGCGTGCGTGTGTGTGTGCGCGCGCGCTATGAGTACTGTACTAGCGCGTGGGACCAACCACCGCCGAGCCACTGACCCGCCACGCCGCGCCCCGCCGCGCCGCGCCCCGCCGCGCCGCGCCCCGCCGCGCCGCGCCCCGCCACGCCCCGTTGAGCGTCACGACACATAGGCCCCCCTTTCCGCTGATCGGCTAGTTCACAGCAATAACTCACAAACCTTTTTGGGTGCCGGCCAGTGCGACACCTGGTGGCTGGCGATGCGGGTGCCGCTCGCGCCGAGTACGTTTACCTCTCTCTCGCTCTCTCTACTTATTCATGCATCTCCTTTTACAGTACGTCCTGCCGTGTGCGCAGCTTTCCTCCAGATATTTCACAACGACGCGTTTCCTATTTCTGGATTGCGACCGTACGACGGACGGACGGACATAGACTTGCGGACAGGCACTTAGACCGGGGGGACGCGACAACCAACGACCACATGTGTCTCATAGCACACGCCTCCTTCATATTTTCGTCCCGAAAGAAATGATTTGGATCCCATCTTGCTCTTTTTCTCACAGTCCCTCCCCCTTCCCTTTCTCTCTCTCTCTCTTTCTCTTGTCTGTCGCCCTTTGTGCTATGCGCCATCTGTGTGCAACAACATCGTTACGCAAGCGAAGAGTTATGTTTCCGTACACAAGAGAAGGACCCAGGGACACGCTGGTGTCCTGAAAGTGTCTAGTCGAGTGGGTCATTGAGGTCAGTCGCATTGCTTTCAGATGTTTGTGAAATAGCGGGCTGATCAAAAGAATCTGCCAGTCGCAGAGTTGTATATTGTATAATAACACAATGGCAATATCTTCGTTATTGTAGAGACTGGCCCATCCCCTTCCTATCGTCTCACCGCATACATTTCTTCAGATCCAACAAAAATGTGGGAGAGAGTGAGTTAGTGAGAAAGAGAGGGGGAGGACGGTCCCCGATCACGAGAGCAGTATTGCGTGTACTGCGCTGCATAAAAATTCTATATTTAAATGAGACACAACTGTCTGCCCCCCCCCCCCTTCGCTAGCTCTATGGTCGCACTAGACGCGTCGCGTCGGGCGGCGGAGCGAGGTAGTCGCGGCGGCTGGCAGCAACAGCGGTAGCTCAGGCGCCTGACTCACCGAGTGTAAAAAAAATGTTCTAGAGTGGAAATTGGAGAAATGTAAATGTACATCGTACAATGAGATATTCTAGAAACACACATTTTTAAATGCTCCTGAATAATTAAAAGCACGCCCATTAAACGGAACGTGGGATTCTAGCTTACGTTCGAGGGAGCAAACTAATCGTGTGACACATTTGTTACTTTTCCTGATGCAACATTTCCATTGAACATACATTCTTTATAAAAATTTTTCCCGGTGTGAGCTTTACGTAAGCACGATGCTGTTCTCTGCTCTGACTCCGCGACACCCTATCAAGCAGACGCGCGGTTGAGGTAAATCATCATCTCACAATGTCGCCTCTTACTCTGATGTAACTGAACTATCCCCTCTGCTGATCTCTTTGGCGCGCCTCTGCTGCTCCCGGGAAACACCGCAAATCGCATTGTCTGCATCAGCGCGTCTACGTGATAGGCCGCACAGCTGTACGGAGACGGGGTGGTCAGGCGTGGCGTGGCGGGGCGAGACTTTGCGGTCGCCGAGTTGCGCTCACCAAGAGCTTATTCGGTACATCCGCCCGCTGTCTTCATAGGTGCGCTGCTGCTTGCGCTGCTCCGCACACTTAAAATTTAAAAAACAAAACAAAGAAAAACAACAGAAAACCTATACGTTTTGAACCGACAAACTGCTGATACAATTAAAACTGTAGAACTTAAAAGTTTACGGTACAAACATAATTGCCGCTGGCAGCGGTTAGTGCGACGGATGTGAGTGCAAGCAGTTCCAGTAAAGAAAACGAAATCGTAAAGTCCAGTTACAGCCATATAGTTTGACCCCGCGCAGAGGTTGCGAGATATTCTGTGATGCAAACAGCCAATGAAATATCGACGAACATTGAAGTACTACTCTGAGTCTCACGATAGAATAGCATTCTACTATGCTATGCAACCCACAATAATCGCCCAATCCCAATCCCTTCCTTCCCTCTGTCCTCTGTCTTGAGATTTCGCTTTGCGAATCGCGTCCCCGACTGATCTGCTGCGAGCTCCTCTCCTCCCTGCTGCACATCTCTCTGGCGCGCAGCCACCCCAGCTGCTCAGCCGGGGAATGCCACACATCACACCACCGGCGGGCAGCACCAGGCGCAGGGCAGGCAGGGCAGGGCTGCTCTCTCGAGAGAGCCGGCCCGGCCCGGGCCCACCGTATGTATCAATCTCTGTGACATTCGGGAGAAATGGCAGTGCGAGTGACAACAGCGGCGGCGGCCGCGGCGGCCCCGCCCCCCTCGCGGCGGCGTATTATGGCACCGCGTGGCCGCTGCCTCCGCCGGCCGCCGCCCAGGCGGCGACACGCGTCTCTGGCGGTACGCCGCGCGCCGCCGAGACCCCCTCCCCCCCGAGGTCGTGGAGTAGCGTCGGCGGCAACTCTCGAGATCCGATCCATAGCGCGGGGTAGCACTGTACAGCAGCGATGGTCGTGGGGTATACAGACACTACAGCCAGACATTGTTGATAGAAGTAAATGATAGAAAAGTGGCAATCATCCACTGGCAGTGTCCTAGAGATCTTATGAAGACTGATTAAACTGCGTTCAGTAAAAGTGTTAGAAAAAGTTATTTGGAAGGATTGAAACGTTTCTAAAAAACATAGCATGTAGAAAACATTGCAATTTTTCTACAGGATTATTTGTTCCAATTTTTAAATAGAATCGTGTAAAATGATCTGAAATAGTCTGGAAAAAGTATATGAAATGTAACGCGTGCCAGAAGCTGCACCGCCCGCCTGACGTGGGTGCTGACTGGGTTGCCTATGCGGTCGACGCCGGGCGCTCGCCGCCACTACCAGCCCCATAGCAGCACTAATATCTCTCTCTCTCTCTCTCTCTCTCTCTCTCTCTCTCTCTCTCT